GCGAGGAGAGATGTAATGTTAGCAGCAGCAGACAAGTATCTTAAAGGTTAGCGATTCATGTTTTGGAAAGATCTGTCCAGATTATCAAAAAAACTGTCGTATACCCATGTATAGTCATGATGCACCTATATATGGTCATGATGTGCCTATATATGGTCATGATGTGATGTCATCATGACCATATTTAGGTATGTAACATGTTTTTGTAAAATAAAATTTGACAGTGTGTACTCAACACTAAGGCTGTAGTGGTGTTTCCCCAGCCCTGCCACTCAGCATTTCATTCCCACTTCTTTAGCATTAAGTATTTATTGGTAATAAAATACTAAAATTTTTCTTTGATTTAATTTATATCGATTACAGGTTTAGCTGAGTGGAGTGTTCCGCGCGGTGGAATGTTCATTTGGTTCAAATTACTTGGTGTAGATGATACTTACGAACTTATAACTGAGAAAGCTGTAAAGAAGGAGGTGCTCTTTGTACCGGGGATATCGTTTTGTCCGGACCGATCAAAACCATCATCCCATATAAGGGCATGTTACTCGCTAGCAACAGATGAGCAGATGGATGAGGTGAGTGTTCTGTATTGGAGGTATAATCCTGCTACGGTAGTGGGGTATTAAGAATCTGACACTTGGATTGACCTTAATTGAAGCTATCATCTTGGTATGGTAGTGGGGTATTAAGAATCTGCGACATGGATTGACCTTAATTGAAGCTATCATCTTTGTATGGTAGTGGGGTATTAAGAATCTGCGACATGGATTGACCTTAATTGAAGCTATGATCTGAGTATGGTAGTGGGGTATTTAGAATCTGCGACATGGATTGACCTTGTTATGTATTGAAGCTATCATCTTGGTATGGTAATGGTAAATAATATCTTAATAACAATAACCTTGAAGTCCATTTTTCCTTGTAAGTTGTGCCTCCAGTCTTCATCCATATTGTTTTTGTTTTATTAAATCCAGATTACCTCTTTGACATTCTTTATCAGTAATTTTTAAATCACAAATTATGTGTTTTTTTGACAGGGAATTAAACGCCTGGCTAGTTTAATTGTTGAAGCTCAGAAAGAAACCAAGTGAAGTTTGGCAGTATTAGAACCAGAGATAGGGCCCAGGATTTATCAATCTCAGCTTAGCAAATGTCTCAAGTCAAAAAAGTTTAGATGTCCCTAAGCAAATACCTTAAGCTGATTTATCAAAGCATCTTAGCAAAATCTTAGCTTAAAATCGTCTTAGATGGCGCATTCGTACAATTGACTCTTTAATTTTAAGCTAACCAATATTGATAAATTTGACTTAAGCAAAAATTGGACTTAAGATGAATTTAAGCTGATTTCTAGTTTGGCTGGCCCTGGCTCACCAAACTTAAAACAGCCTATAGGGCATTTGAAATCCAATTCGCTATACTCAAGTATCAGAAATATACATACTATTCATGAGTAAATGCGGGTAGGTCTCTAAGCAGTGATTGTGTGGTTTCCACATACAGTACTAACATACAGGGTATTTAACTTAACTATTATTTAATGTACTTACCATCTTGATATGGAAGTGGGGTATTTAGGATCTGCAACATGAATTGACCTTGTTGTTATGAAGTGAATGGATTGACCTTAATTGAAGCTATCATCTTGGTATGGTGGTAGTGGGGTATTAAGATTCTGGGACATGGATTGACCTTGTTGTTATGTAATGAAGCTATCATCTGAGTATGGTAGTGGGGTATTAAGAATTTGCGACATGGATTGACCTTGTTATGTATTGAAGCTATCAACTTGGTATGGCAGTGGAGTATTAAGAATCTGCGACATGGATTGACCTTGTTATGTATTGAAGCTATCAACTTGGTATGGCAGTGGGGTATTAAGAATCTGCGACCTATATATTATGATTGTGTTCAAAGTCAGATCCAGATTTGTTCCTCCAGGATGCAAGGATACTTTATTCATCCCACTGTGGGGAAATTTAATGGCTCATTATATCAATGTGATTACATCACTTCTACCTCTACCTGATGTACTTAAGGCCAAATAAAAAAAATCACTAGTTTCACGTGCCATTTTGTATTCCTCACTAATTTTTTTTTTTTTTTTTTTTTTTTTTAACGAATGTACAAAAATGTGGCTAACTCACATCAGTAAAATTCCTCTCTCGATTGTTTGAATCATATCTGGTGCTTCTTTTATTTGCTTTCAATGTGTCTGGAAAAATGGAATTGCTTGGATTTGCCATCTCGGAGTTAAAAAAAAGTGTCCTCATTCTCCTTTTTTCAAAATATTAGGATGAGAAACTACTATTTCGTTTTACTTGGCCTAAAATGTGTTTATTTTACTTCCTGTTGTGTGTGTTTATGAATACTAATCCAGTCGATAATTATAATTACTATATTCCTTTTATAATAAATCGAGATAGAGATATTTTCGTTTTGTATTAATTTTTGTGTCAACTAAGTCCAAATCGAGCTATACGTGGAATGGAATAATTCTAATATTATATTTATTAGTATATTATAATATATATACACATACCTGTATTATAATAATAAAGTAT